CTAGGATGATTATTGGCAAGCCCCCGTTGTCTCTAATGGTAATTCCCCGGGTCACAGAATTCCCGGCCCCTTCTGTCTGGGTTGGAGAAGAAGCACCTGCACCATCACCACCAAAACCAAAGTCCGAACACCTGCCTAGCTCTTGTCACCTCCAAGGCTCTGGCGTAGCCCTCTGCCTCCTCTAGTAAGGGGTGCCCACCTGCACAGCAAGCTGAGGCACTAGTGCAGTCCGGATGCTGAAGCCCTCACCCTGCCTGACACCGGGTACTGAGTCTCTAGCCATAGACACGGGAGCGAGACAGAGGAAGGAAGGCAGCCACACCCATGACTGGTCAGTTGGCCCCTAGGAGGGGATTGGGACTGTCCCCTAGGGTCCTGGAAATGGAGATGGGAAGGGCTCCAGCCTTCTCCAGCTGGGTTGCATCCTATTGTGTTGGCCACCCAGATCTGTGAGAACCTGCTGTTGGAGGGCCACCTAGGAGTGAAGGTTATGGACCTGGGTGGCCACAGAAAGACCAGGTGTTACCAGGTATCTCCCACCCCCACCCCTACCCCCAGTGACAGGTGTCTCCTGGAACTCTTCGGCTAGGCCTGCTCATTCCATGGCACAGGGCCACACACATTCCCAACCCACCTGGCATCATGATGTCACCAAGAGGTTCTTATTTTTTTTATTTTTCCCCCTAGGTCTTGTTGTGTAGGCCTGGCTGGCCTGGGACTTACTCTGTACAATAGGCTGGACTTGGTCTTGTGGCAATTCTCTTGCCTCCCCAGTGCTGGGCGTACAGGAGTGTGCCACCACACTTGGTTGGGAGGGGGCTCTTTATGACTCTGCTTTCCTCTAACGGGGCCAGACATCAGGGAAGCCAGCACAGTCCTGTCTTTGAATGGATGATGTGGTGAGATTACCACTGAATTATTTAAAAGTTTCCTGCTGATTTCAGGAAAAGAGATTCTAATCTAAATTATATTCATAAATTCCAAATCATTATTCATAATTTCACACTCAAAGCTGTGATTGCTAGCAGGCTTCCTCACAAAACTCACCCCACGGTATGCATGTAAAATCTGGCCATTCCTGCTCATTCTGAGAGGTGTGTGGCCTAAAGGTCCATCTGGCCACTGCAGTCCTTATGGGGTTACAGGGGTCTGCCCACCCAAGACTTGGAAGTAAGTCTATAAAAGATGCTTGTAGATGGCAACTTGAAAATCCCATGAGGCATACAGAAACCTCACCCCTGAGACAAAGGGCAAATTTGGAGCGGTTTCTTCTCGCAGCAGGGAGAAGATGGATGCAACTGGGGACCCTGAAGCGGTTGAACCAACTTCAGCTTAACTTCTGACATCAGCTTCCCAGGTGCTGGGCAGAGCTGGCAGTTACCCTGCTGTGGTCCACATGGCCAGCCCAGTCCCGGGAGACTACCTTCAGCGTGGATTGAAGGGTAAACAGGGGCAGGAATCTGCATTTCACCAGGTTCCCCAAGGGGTTCCCACACAGAGAAACTCGAGTTGGGGACCTAACTGACAGATCTATTTGGAGGCAAATGCCTTGTATTCACATTCTCCCTCTCTCTGCTCAGCCTGATTTTTGAAATGAAAAGCAATGAATAAATAAAGACAGTTTTCAAGATGTTCATGGAATGGCTCTTTTTTTTTTTTTTACATTTTTTTCAACTAGTTAGGACAAAAACATTACAATGGTTGGCTTCTTTCATTTAGTTACATAAATAAAATTTTTATAAATATCTCTTTATAAACAATATAAATAGCTTTACAACATAAATACATTTATGCATGACGTGAATTTACAAACAGCAATGTTTTACAGCTGGTTTTGTCAGTCACTTTAAAAACTGTCCCTTGTCATCAGTTGGTGTAGGAGTGCGTGTTTCATGTATATAATATATATATATAATATATAACTTTTTATTTTTCATTTTCAAAAAAAAAACCCCAAACAATAAAATCATACCCTCCCCTCCCCAAATAATAATAAAACAGCTGGTGTTGTGTATTGCCAGTACCAGGAGGAAAAAAATAAAAAGAAATGTAAAAGCCACATTGCGTTGGAGGTGTTTCCAGATGCTGGAGGCGGATGACCAGGGATGACCTCAGCGTGCGGAGCAGTTCCCAATCCTGAAACACAAAGTGGACACAGGGTGCTCAGTTCTGACCTCTTAACAGAAAAGTCCAGCCTACAGTGTTGTTCTAGAGCCTTTCCCCATTTCTTACAGTAACTCGAGGCAAAGCACTTGTGCCTTTGATCTACAACTCCTTGATTGGCACTGGCTGGCCCAGCGCAGGTGGAACCATAATGTCTACCATCCCGCCTCCACCCTCTCCAGCCCCAAGCTCTAACTGTAGGCTTTACTCTCAGCAATGGGTGAGACTGAGGAATAGTGGGGCCATTTTCCAGCTCATTTTTGCTATACAACAAACCCTCAGACAGTTGTTTTCATCTGGTTTTGTATCTGCTTGGCCATGTAGGCACAGAGAAAAGTATATCTCAAAGTGTGTGTGTGTGTGTGTCCTATTCTGGGCTCAAATCCTTCCTTGGATTTGACTTCCTGGATGGCCCTGAGTAGCTTTGAGCTCACCCATAAAATGGATAATAGCCACCTCTCAGAGCTGGCGCTAGGATTCAACAAAGGGCTACATATTAAGCACGGGCAGTGTCTGGGTCAGAGCTACCAAGCAGCGAAGAGCACTTCCTTTCCTAGCTAGCTTTGTCTCAGGAATTGGTTGTTTCAATGTCCCCTTTTGTAGCAGGTGAATTGGTGTCTAACACCAGCCCAGGCAAATGAACAGCCATGTTGGATTGGTGGGTTTGAAGGATGAGAATAAGGTGATGAGCGCTGTACCCAGTCCCTACTAATGGCTGTTTGAGTGCTCTGTGTTCTGAATAAAGGCAGACATGCAGGGCACTCTTAAATGACAGCATTCACAAAGGGATCTGGCTGTAATGGTCTGGGCAACTCTCCCTAACTCATTTCTCTGTCTGTTTCAAGTGTGATGTTCCTGGGGCCCAGAGGCAAAGTGTCTGTTGAGGCCTTGGCCACACCCGAGTCTCTGTCAATAGTATAATCAAAACCTATAACCATCAGCGACAGTCATTATGATGGTGCTTGGAGCCAAAGTCAACCTCTGAGTGGAGACATGGTCACAGGCTTGGGAGTTTTTATCAGTAGAAGAACGAGCCTTGTATTCTTCCTTAAGAACAGGTGCTCTCACTGGTCAGTCCCATCAGAAGACTGCATGGTTTGGAAATGTGACCTCTCTGCCCTTTCACTGGGCATGGGGTAGAGAAGGCTACCGGTTGTTCATTTATGCCAAGAGAACTTGTAGGAGGCTGCTGACCTTCCCTGGTCAAAGGGGGTGCAGAAGCCTTAAATGTCTCGATTTTCCATCCTTAGCGTTTCTCACCACCCTGTGCCCACAGATGCCCAAGACTAAACCCAAGGCATCTTCAGGGAAGCTCATCCCAGGCACTAACTCTAAAGTCCATTCTTCAGACTTCATCTCTTAGGTATTCACACAGTACAGAGCAAAAGGCATCACAATGGCAGCATCAAGGCTTGCCGGTAGGTACCAGAATCACCTCTCTCCCTGAATGAAGGAGAGCAGAGATTCCCAACAGCCTGCAGAATGGGGGTGAAGTAATGCGGCCTGCTCAAGACTGGGTACAGAGAGGAGAGGGCTAGTTGAGGTCTAGAGCCGGGGCGCTGTGTGGAGCTGCTGAACTGGGGCGTGTGTTTCTCTGGTCATTGACCAATATTTCAAGATCCTTTCTGGGTATGGTGTGGGTTCCCGAGGGTCTGTCCCTTAAGTTAATATGGGACCCAAACACGTTCATAACGTGCTGTTCTTCTGGGAAGGTCTCTCATGCTGTGAAGAAGGTTCCTGCTACCCCCTATTCCCTATGGGGAAAGACTGGCCACTGGCCTCTGGGTTGGGGAGAGCAGCCTCTCCACCCCTGGGGTGAGACAGACAGGGTATGGGGCAAACAATGGCAGCTGGTGAGTAGGAGCCAAAGCTAGGAAGCAGTAGGGGCCTGCTTGCTCCGTCCTTTCACATGCTCAGGGATGGAGAGAGGGAGGAGATTCAGAAGGGTCTTTGTAGTAAGTCACAGAGTAGCCTCAGGTGGGCATGTTGGTAAGATGAAAGTTTCCATGCTGAGTGGAGGGATGGGGACAGGGTTGGTAAAAACCTCATTTAGGATACACTGAGTTTGAGGTTAGCGCAAGAAATAAGACTTAGCTTGTTCCTTTGCCTCTCTTGAAACAGGGTCACAAGCCCCAAGGTTCCTCTCGGAAGCCCCAGGGCTGCAGCATCAGGACCCTGGATAGACCAGTTTGCCCACAGTTGGGTTTAGAGCAGGGGTAAGATTCAGAATGCCCGAGGCAGAATGGTGTCTTGCTGCTGCCCACAGAGGCTCTTCTCTCCACTGTGAGGAGCAGGCATAGCTGCATGCCGGCCTCACTTCAGGGACATTGGGCTCAGAAAGGTGTCCTGGCACTTGACGTTCTGGCTGTCTGCAGAGCTGCAGATAAACTTACTCCGGGCTGGTGGAACACCTTTCCCTTTTTTTTTTTTTTCCAGGGTCTCTCTAACAATTTCCCAGTTGGCTGAGTTGGGGCTAACATTGCTAGCTAGTCTGTAGTTCAGGGTGGGGTTGGGGACTGCGTCTACATAAGCCTGTTTATGCCTTTCTAGAGGAAGCCAGATGGGGTCCTCTAAGCTGAACCCGATCTTTGACCTTGCCCATATACTCTGACCACTTCATTTTCTTAATCTGTAAAATGGAATAAGTGAGGTAGCAGACAAATGTTTAGCTTACACTTGATCCCATGTCCGGATTGGTTGGGGGAAGGCCACAGAACACAAGGAGGAAACCAAACAGCCTAAGCTAGATGGTAGTAGGGCTAGGTTCTCCCTGGTGCAGAGCGAGGCGATCTGGAAGAGTCCCATGGTGTTACTCACCGCCGCCAGGGGTCGCTGCACTAACATCCCAGACCGCTCATGGAGCCGATCCGGTCCAGCTTGAGGCCAAAGCAGCCTTTGGACAAGCCCTTCTTGTTGCCGCCTTTGTATTTGCGCGCGTTGGGGTGCTCGTGCAGAAGGCGGGCCCAAGCAGCCCGGGACTTGGTGTCCACACGCAGGTCCCGGAGCAGTCGCGATCGGTCTCCCTTGAGATTGGCGCCCCCGCCGCCTGGAGTCTTGTCACCCTTTTTCTGATTGCCACCAGCTGCCTGGGGCTCCGCTAGCTCCTCCCCAGGAGGGGTTCGCGGGACCTGTCGGAGAAAAAGAGTGGGCAGGTGAAAGAGTGCACGGATGTAACGCAGGTGACTTTTGCTGGCTCCAGAGTGGCGTGACCCTCCCCAGCCGTGAGCGCGCCCCCACGGTTGCGGGAGAGCTGGGTCCGGCATCCACCTGCCACGCAGCCCTTGCTCCTGCTCCTTGAGGGGGGGGGGAGCTTGCCCTTCCTGTGCCGCTTGTCCTGCTGGGCACATTAGGGCACGGGAGATGTGCATGGCATTCTCCTGAAGCTGAGGAATGATTCAGAGAAGTCCTAGCTTTGAGGGCACAAGTCCGAGGGATCTGCCTTTCCGGGCTCTCTGCTCCCTCCTGCGCGCCGCATCCTCTCACGCCCCTCACAAGTCCAGCTTCCCGCAACAGTACTCACCTTCGGTGGCGTCCCGGGCTTGGCTTCGGAGGACCGGAGTGAGAGTAGCGTGAGCAGCAGGGCACAGGCGATCAGCTGGGAGAGGTGCATGGTGCCGATGGGGGGGGGGGGTACAGACGGTCTGCAGCCCGGACGGCCGGTGAGCAGTCCGACAGGCGGATGCGGAGCAGGCTGGCTAGGCGAGCGCAGGTCCCACTGCTGCACGGCGCCGGCTGGGTGCGCTCTGAGTCCGTGGCTCGGTTGGTGCCTTTATAATCCAACCTGCCGCTGATGTCATCTTCCCGCCCACCCGGCCGCCAGGGCCAATGGCACAGCGCACGCGGCCGAATCGACGGCCAGGAGGGGGGCGCGGGGGCTCCCCCTTCTGCTCCCACCCACATCCCACCTCCAAAGGATCCCGCGGCTCGGGCGGGCGGCTGCCGCTCAGAGCCACAAAGCGGCGCGCACAAGGGAACTCCATTTGTAGAATGCCCTCGCTCTGGGCTTCTAGGCGTCCAGCGCGCTGTGTACCGGCTGGGTCGTCACTGCGCGCACTGTTCCTGGTATGCATCTGTACTAGTCTTGCAGGTGCAAAGGCTTAGAAGAAATGTCCCTTATGCAAAATTACGCAGGTAGAAAGTTGGTGCAGACCGAAATCCAAGTAGATTGCCCTGTTTCCAAACTCTTCATTAACGCCTGACACGTGCTAGCCAGGGTGGAAGGGCTGACCTCCTCCACACAAGGCCCTTGCACTGGGGTCGAAGAGGATGGAGTCTAGAGATTCCCAGTGGGAGAGCTTGTCGGGTGTAGCTGTAAAGGGAGATGTAAGCCTCCAGTACCAACCAGTACTCACCAGTGCAAGGATGTCATCAATCCATGTGTATGAGCCAGGAATTCGTGTGTGTGTGTGTGTGTGTGTGTGTGTGTGTGTGTGTGTGGGGGCGATGGAGAGGCGTTAGGAGGCTAGGAGGCAGGTGGACTTCCTTCAATGGTGTACTGACTCTGCCTGCAGGTGGGGATGTCCACTTTAGTGTCCTGGACACCATAAGAAACTATAGGCAGCACTGGGGTTTGCCCAGCTCCAAGCCTCAACAGGCCATCATGGCCATTGAGTTTGGGGCTGTGGAGAATTGCCTGCTGGCTATGGACACCAGACTGCTGCACACAATTTCTCTCCTTGGCCTGGAATCTTGATCCCTCAGACTCAGGGGAGCCCTGTAACGTAGCAGCCTCCAGAGAGCTTGTAGTCTCAAAATTTGAGTGATGGGCAGGAGTTTGTGTCCTTTGTGCGGAACAGGACTCAAGCTTGAGAGAGGAAAAGGAACATTCACAGGGATCTGCCTTTCCGGGTGCCTGTGGTCTCTAGAAGGGAAGAACCCTGAGGAGGGATTTGGGAGGCAGGAGCCAGAGTTAGTGTTTTACAGAAAGATGGAGGTGGAGGGCAGTGGGAAGACTGCTGGGCGACCATAGGTCTGGAGAACAAATGTTCTGGAAGGTACAGAGGAAGCAAGGGCATAGTGTTTGCCTTGTTCTTCCTTGTCCGTTCCCAACATGGCACCCCAAAGTCCCCAAATGAGGACCACAAGCTCCGTCCAGCCTTTCGTTTAGGAAAAGACTCACGGTGAAACCTGATTTGGGTTAGTATGTATCTATATACTAGATAGACATATCTATCACCTGGAGAAAGATCTAGACATCAGCTTCAAGTCCTTTCAGTCCTGGAAGATTGGCTGCCCACCTCCATGCTCCTCCCACACATGGCCTTTTGATGTTAATACTTATGAAATGACAGCCCAACTGCATTTGAGAAGGGAAGAGAAGCAAGGAAGGCGAGGGTGACACCCTCACTCCCGTGTGGAACTACATCCTACACTCCACTCTCCATCTCATCAAGGGAAATTTTTAAAAATTGTGTGTGTGTGTGTGTGTGTGTGTGTGTGTGTGTGTGTAGGCATATGTGTACTCTGGTGCACATGTGGAGGTCAGAGGACAACTTTCAGGAGTCAGTTCTCTTCTTCCATCCTGAGGAAGCCTGGGGATGGAACTCAGGCTTCCAAGAGGCAAGTATCTTTACACTATAAGCCGTTTCACTGACCCTGCAAGTGACTCTTTTGATGACCTGTGGCTCTTGAGCTGTGGTCATTTACGGTAGACCCTTGATGAGTTAACTTTGGGCTAGGCTTCCCTGTAGCCTCCATTGCTACTACTGTTGCAGGAACTGGGTGGACAGGCAGCTAGTCTGCAGGGTCTTTGGGGCAGGGTGGTGATGAGTACATAAGTGCTTACAGACCAAAGGTTTCATGCTCCTCATGGCTTCCCTTCTGGGCCTAGATTTGGGATCTTAGCTCCCTTTCTCTGGGAAATCCACTTTTCCTTCCTTCGACTCCAGGGACTTGGTGGAGGTGAGGGAGCAGTGGGGTCGACCACTGAGCAGCTGAAATGAATTCCTCAGGTATAGTACTGGCTCCTCAGTGTTAAAAATTTCCCCAGGGGCTGGAGAGATGACTCAGCAGTTAGGGCCATGTATTGCTCTTGCAGACAACCTGAGGTTGGTCCCTAGCACATGGTTGAGGGGGGAACCTCACAACCACTTGTAACTCTAGCTCCAGGGAACCCAATGCCTTCTTTTGACCTCTGCGGGCAACCGTGCTCATGTGCACATACCCGCACACAGACACAGACTTGTACACATAATTGATGATTAAAAAAAGCTCCCAATAAACAAAAGTCCTCAATTCCTCTTGACTCAAAGGAGGGAGGAAAGACCCTTGGGGCTCAAGGGGGGTTAGCAGTGTTGTAGGGCATCTGATCATTTGTCATTCATGACTGTCTCAAATACCTTCATGGCTGCCCTTTGGCCTGCTCCATAGTCACTGAGTTGCATCCCAGCAAAGAAGGTGACACAAAACAGACACTGGCTTTATCAGCTGGGAAACATGGTGCTGGAGATGAGGCCGTGTCAAGAGGGCTTCTTTCTCAATCTCAGCCAACAGGTCAGGGTTCCCAGAGAAAAAGTCAGAACTGAGCATGCCACACAGGGAGAAAATGGAGGTAGAGTGACCTCCTTGGGTTAACTGGAGGACTAGGGCTTAGGAGCATTGTCTAAGAAACAAACAAACAACAAAACCCAACCAAATGAGAAGCTTGAAAGGACAACCCTATGACGCCGAGACAGACAGAAAGCCAACGGTGGTGAAGAAGCCAAGAGCAAGGGAGGGTAGAAGGCTTGGAGTAGGGCACTCAGTGGAAACAGACCCAGAAGAGAGGCAGCTCTGGGGTTCAAAGTAGTAACTGTGCAAGATGTGGCAGAGGGTTTTCTCCACAGTCACTGTGTACTTGGGGTGGGAGAGTAAGTGGGCCTGGGGGTGCAAGAGGGTTAAGGCAGATGGAGTGGCCACTGTGGGGCGGGGCAGATAGAGCAGTGAGAAGTAAGTCCGATAAACACTGAATGATGCCAAACCTCCAACTTCAGGCATCGAGTATGGTGTGGCCAAGACCCTTCTCTCTCTTGGATCTTTGAAGGGCAGGGACCTAAGGATAAAGACCCTGTCCTCATGACCCCACTTCCCCTTTTCCTTTCCAAGAAGGGGAAGGAAAAGCATGCCCACTCCAGAGGACTTTCCTGGGATAGCTGCTGTCCAGTCCAGAAAGGATGGAAAGCCGAAGAGGTCCGATTATAAAGGTGAAAGCTCTGGGAAGCTGGGGAAGGGCCACTGTGGCAGGACTGTCCCTTCATGAACAAGAGGTGGGCAGAATCTACTGGCAGCGATGCCCCCTCCTGCCCCTGGGGTAACGGGTGGATTCTCAGGCCCTCAGAGGAGGGAGGATCACTGAGAAGCCCATCTGTTTTCTCTGCAATTATTTCATCCTGGGGCCCCTTTCCAGCTGCATAACTTCTCAGAGAGGACACTAAACAGGCTGTGAGCTGTTGTTGGGGAGGCCAGGCAGGGAAATTGCAGTAGGATCCTGGCCAAATCTCATCATTGTGCAGGGCCTTCAGTTTCACCACCTGTAATTGGGAAAAGGCTGTCCTTGCCTCCTGGACGGGGGCAGAGTGAATCTGGCTGAGGCGGCAGGAAGCAGCTGAGGCAGATGGGGGATCTGAATGTTACCGCTCACACGTACACACTCTTCCAGGCGGCAGGGCCCTACATGATGAATGGGACTGTTTGATGGTGCACGGCCGTGGGGGACACAGAGGCTTGGCTAGGTCTCCTTGGACCTGGCACCTCCCCCAAGAGGCCTGCACCTACGGGCCTGGCCTTTAGGAGATGTGTGGGAGGCCAAGAAAATGTCATCAGGCATCCTTTGTAGGCCAGAAATTCCAGGAAAGATTTGAGTCTTTTCCTGACCCTAGGACACCCCCACCTGACAAGGCAGCTGCCCTCCTTTCCCTTTCCCAGAGGCCCTGCCAGCACCTGCTCCAGATGGCCTCCAACCCCACTGTCCTACGCAGGCCCGTGACGTCAGAGTTTATCCCTCTCCGCCCATCTTTTCTTTTCCTTGTAAAAAGAAAAGATAGGTCCTTACAGATAGGCTCAGTTCCTTTAGGGGAACAACTGCCCCTCATCTGGCTGTCAACAGGCAGGTGAGGGGGGCAGGGCTGAGGCCTAACCCTAAGAAAGTGATGAAAGTGTGAGAGAGGGGCCTTTCTAGCAGAACCAGGCTCAGCACCCCAACATCCATCCATGTGAAGGCTGCACCAGATGTTTGGGTCTGCTGCCAGGCCGTTGCCCTGGGGATGAGGTCTTGCCTTGGCTGGGCTGTGATAAAACACTAGTTCTGTAGAGCTTCCCAAGCAGTGAGCCACACTCTTGGGCTGCTGTGAGGACCTTTGCTTCAGGCCCCTTCTGAGTCTGGACCCACAGGAAGGTTCATGTTATTTGATCTTAGAGGCAATATTTCAGACTTGCTGGAGGCCACAGTCTTCAATGGGGAGGGTTTACTTCTGGAGGACAGAAGGGACGCCAAGTATCTATGGAAGCCCCTTAAATTGGCCTCTCACAGATAAGATCATGAGATGGGCTCGCCAGGACATAGGGCCACAGTTAGGTTGAGGGAACCATTTCTTCAGGTTTTCGAATCCAGAAAGTTCTCTGCAGACATTTTCC